TTGAAAATCACAGAAGCCTCACTTGTTCCCAGCATAAGAGGCAAAGCCTCTGCCATGCAGAGCTTGGGACCTCAGGGGAGGGGCTTGTGGGGGCTGTAGTCACTCAGAGAAGACTGAAACTGCTGCCCAGCACCAGTAAGTCCTCCATGCTTTACTCTGCTCCACCATCAGTTCACTACCATAGGGATGTGGAATTGTGGCTCATGGTAGGGGTCCAAAGCTTCAGGCTCAGGGGACCAAAGCTCCAGTCTACAGGAGTCGATCACAACTCTGGCTCATGGGGGGTGGGGGTGGGGGGCCACTACTCTAACTTCCAGGACAGGACCACTGCTCCAGGCTCACTGGAGGGAACCACAGTGGAGGAGATGATGACTCCAGTTACAGGAGGAGACCACTGCTCCAACTCTTAGGGCAGGATCGTAGCTCTTGCTCATGGGAGAGGGTAGGGGCACCACATCTCCAGCTCATAAGAGCAAATTACAGCTCCTGTTCACAAGAGGGAATCATACTCCAGGCTTATGGGAGGGGACCACAGCTCCAGTTTCACTGGAGTGGACCACAATTCTAGATTACGGTAGGGGACAGCTAGCTCCAGGTTCACAGGAGGGGAACCTCAGCTCCAGCTCACAGGAGGAGACTACAGATCCAGAGTGATAGGAAGGGACCACAGTTCCTGATTAACAGGAGGAGGCCACAGCTCCAGAGTCACAGAAGGGGACCACAGCTCCAGCTCACAGGAGGGGACCTCTGCTACAATTTCATGGGAGATGACCACAGTTAAAGGTTAATGGGAAGGGACCAGAGCTCCATCACAAAAAGTGACTACAGCCCCACATACATGGGATGAGACCACAGCTCTGGCTTTCAGGAGGGGACCACATCTCAAGCCTTCAGGAGGGGGCCATAGCTCAAATTTCATGGAGAGGGAGCACAATTCACCCTCATGGGGAGAGACCACAGCTGCAGGTTCGTGGGAGACAATGACAGTCCTAGGCTCATAGGAGAAGACTGGAGCTCTGGTTCATGGGAAACGCACACCTCCAGCTCAGAAGAGGGGAACATAACTCTAAGCTCATGGGAGACAATCACAGTTCCAGGCTGATGGGACGGAACTAACTATACAGCTCCAGGTTCATAAGAGACAACCATAGTTATAGGCACACTGGACAGGAACACAGTTCCTGGTTCACTGGAAGGGATAGACCCCAACCTCAAGTTCAGTGGAGGAGAGCACAATTCCCAGATCCCGGGGGGGGGGGGGTCACCATTTAGATTATACAGGTTCCTACTATTTTCCTGTCTCTGTTGCTCCATCCACATACCTATACTTGTATTCAAGATAGAGCACCTTGGTTCCTGAGCAGCAAAGGCAACAGCTACTTGGCTTGAACCTCTTGCTTGAGGGACATCGCTATTGGAGAAAATCGTCTTTCACTTTTGCACAGGGAGACAGATGGATCGTGTGTTTTGTTGTTGCTGTTCATGATCAAGGTTCTGGTTGGCTCCCTTTGGCAATTTCAGCCCTCATACCTTCCTCCCTGGCCAGGGAGAGTTAGCAATAAGACATCTTGCCCACAATGACATTTTTATGAGAGGTGCCACCATTGCTATCTTGGCTCTTCAGCTCCTCTCTCAGTTGCCAAGTCCTTTCACTCCTACACCCAGCTGACTGTGGATACAAGTGCAGTGGCCCTCCTGGAAGCTGTTAGCTGCCGTGTGGGTGTTGGGAATCCAACAGGGTCCTATGGAAGAACAGCCAGTGCTCTTAACTGCTGAGCCTTCTATCCAGCTCCTGGAAAATTTAATTTGTGAAGAAAGTACTGCAAATTAAATAAACCAGTCCTGCCTCTAAACCCTGTATGAGCCCCAGGTTAGTAAACTGCACCTTGTCTTCTGCCCCATTCTACTAAAATGGAGGATTAAACACTCCAACTTTTGCTAAAACTCAAGGCAAGAACTCCCTCTCTGGAAGGCTAAGATTTGCAGGTTCTCAGATCTGAATACCCTTTCTCCCAAAATGTACTGGGGCTATTTTTATTTATTTATTTATTTATTTATTTTTGAGAGATGGTCTGACTACATACCTTAGACTGGCCTTGAATTCACTAAATAACACAGGTTGAGTTCAAACTCCTCAGCCTTCTGAAAGCTAGGATTTCAGGCTTTGCAGTGCTGGGATGATAGTTATGAGCCATCACACTCATTGATCAAAATTTATTGAACACAATATCCAAGGCCCGGTGCTAGGACCTTTTTATAAAGTACAATACATCAAGAAAATAAATTACTGAAAGATGTTTGTCACTTTGGGATACTGATAAAAATTTTCAGAGGCTAAAGTGGTCAGCGGTAGAATATGCCCATAGCATGCAGAGGGCCTGCTTCAATTTTAATTGTTTGTATTTGAATTCTAGTTCTCCCATTTATGACCTGTATCTTCATGGACAAAGAATTTCCCCCCTGTAAACTGTAGTTTCTTCATGTATAAAATGGCATAAATCCTGTGCTTCATGAGGTAGTTGTGAGGGTCAAAATGTATTAGTGCCTCTCAGTACACAATAAATTCTCAGTATAAAGCTGGCTTCGGTGGTGCACTCCTGTCATCCAAGCACTTGAGAGGCAGCAGCAGAAGGATTAGGATTCCAATGCCATGTTGAACTACATGGAGATACCTTGTCTCAGTAGAAAAGCATGGAGACTGGACTGTAGCTCTATAGCGAACACTTGCTGAACATGCAATAAGGCTCTTCATTGAATTCCTAGCACCACAAAGCAATAAGCAACCAAATACCCATCTCAACAAACTAACACAACCCCCATCCCAAACAAAGCAAAACAAGATGTGAAACAGTGCACGGAGCGGGTGGCACAGAGCATGCCACTCCCATTTCCCTTCAGGAAAGGACTTGTGACCCCGCTGCTAAGAGCACATGGACAACACCTGCAGTGGAGGCTCCTTTGAGATCCATCTTGGCTTGTCAGCTGGTGACAAAGCCTGCAGAACCTCTGGTCATGGCAGAGCCTGGTGGGCTAGGAGAGTCAAGCAGTTTCTACCCCTGTGGGTCTCCTCAGAAAGAGAGATTCTGTCATAGCCTGATGTCCTGCTACTCAGTCCTGCCCCTTTGATTTCTTGAGTGTCACCCTCACTTACTTAGGTGTCACCTAGTCTAAGAGGAATGTCTTATATTTGGAGGAGATGGTCCACCACATAGGCATTGGAGTCTCTGCTCTTAACTTCTATGTTTCTGACCTTTCTTCCTCAGCTTTCCCTTTGAGTCCTCTCATAACAGTATTGAAAATTAAAATGTGATGGGTGACACATATCTCCATGCAACATCATGCTCCAGGGATCTGCCAAGCCTGATGACCTGAGTCTGATCTCTGGAAGCCACAATATCCTTTAAATTGTCCTCTGATTTCAACACATGCCATGTTGTGCATGCAGACACCCACACCCACATGTACATAAAGAAATAAAATGTAACCTCGTTGACACAACATGCTATGCTTAAGTAAAGTTGTTTCTCTGGTCTCTTGTTTTTACCCAATCTGGGGTCAATAGACATTTGTTCAGGAAAGTTCAAAAACTGTTTAAGAAACCACTGGGAAGTTGTTCAACAAAGATGAAGTTTGAAAACCAATGCATTTTAAGCTGACATATGTGCATTGAATTACCTGCTTTCACAGAAAAATTATTCAATCACAGTCTTTTTATCTGTGCTGGAAGTAAAACATACCTTACAAAACCCAAAAAGAATGGAAATAATTAGCATGTGGGTTACATTATACATGATTTTTAATTGTTCTTACAATAAGAATTGGAAATATATTTTTAAAAATACGGTTGTTATGATCAAGTTCAAGTATTTGTTTTGAGTTTTTAAATGTCAATTCTTTACAAAATAAATAAATTTACAGTTCTTGGAATACATATGGCATGAAACCTGGGTGAGCACTATCAGGAGAAGACAGGGAACCAGCTCTAGAGGGGCAGAGGGTCTGAAGCAGTGAGGGAGCAAGTGAAGATGAAGTTTAGTAACACCTATGTACGAGAATGTCCGAATGAAACCTGTCACCTTCAGAGTAAAAAACCAAATACAAATAAATAGTTCCACTCACAGTTTGTTTGCTGAACAAATCCTAATGATGTAGAGCCGGATGGAAAAGTCAAGGGAAACAAGGATTTTAATCTTTGTTTTTTCTCTCTCTCTTTTAACGTGTCTCTATCTGGGAGGTATTGCTGACGGATTGCCCAGTGTCAGTGTGTGGTTTTACACACACACCCCCCCCCCCCCGCCCCATCCCCTTTTGACACAAACTTCCTCTTTCTGTTTTGCTCAGACAAGGAATTTTGCAGGGACCTTGTAGACAAGATTTTTAAAACTTTTTTTTTCTCTTTTCTAAGAAATAACTTAAAATAATCTACATAGTTTTAAAACTTTTGCTGTTAACCAGTCAGTGTGTGTCCTTTCCACTGTACACCAATTCCTAAAGATGAATAAGGCTTCCTCCCTTCCAGGTCCGGACTTCGAGGTTTGAGCGGGCTGGACGGGGCTGCAACCTGAATAAAATGCCGTGCTTCTTGAGCATTTCTGGGGTCCTGCTGCCCTCCGGCTAGGGATCGATTCCCTTTTCAAAGTTCAGGCTCTCTACTCAAAACAGCAGGGTGCGAATATTTACTGAAAAACTTAACGAAGTGGCTATATTATGTGAATCTGTGAATAATGTGTATCTTCATACATAATTCATAAGCGGATATAGCCTTTCATTTAAGGTTAAATGCCAATGGTAAATAGGAACTAGTGTCTCTCACAGGAAGCCCTGCTTCACATCCCCTTCTGCCTTCCCTTGCCCTCCTGATGGTGCAGAAGCTGTCACTCAGGGTGGAGCTGAAGCACTGTCCAATCCGAGTCACAGTTGTGCTAGACCCACCAATGATGAGCGGGGGCGGGCCTTCCTTTCTACGCCCATAGCTGTCGGCGCTTCTGGATCTGTCACAGTTTTCTGGTCTGGCATTTCGGGATCCTGCGTCTAACTCCATCGCCCTGTGACCGGCTGCGGCCGCTGCCCCAAGGCGCAGCGCTGCTCACCAGCAATCCCGAAATGGTGAGCGCGGCGTCCCAAGCGGGGAGGGAAGCTGTGCACCGGGAGCTGGCGGACGCGGCTCCCCATCTTCCCCGCAGAGTCCCCAGCTGCGGCTGTGGCGGGGCTGAGCCGGCTCCCAGTAGCCCGGGCGTCCTGTTGGTCCTTGCACAGGGACTTGAGCCCGGTACAGCCTGGCGGTGGCCGGTGCTCATCTCATGCACCCAGCTCCTTCAGGGTTTTCCTGGATCCTTGGTCCCCGTCCTCCCCGCCCCCACTGCAGCCTGCACCTTTGGCTTGTCTCTCTGCCTGTCTGTCAAAATCTAGTGATAATATTTCTAAATATAGTATGACCGACTGTGGAAATCCAAGTCTGAGTGCTGCATCCCCACTTTTCCTTCGCTGTCACTGGCTTATCTTTGCCTAGTGTCTGGTGGGTCTCCCAACACCACTTTCCAATGAGGCCTTTCCTTAAGACCCTGGAGTCCTTGGGAGACCTGGATTAGACACTTCCCCTCTCTGAGACATTTTCTTATCTTTCTGTCACTTGGGATGGAATCTAAGTACTGGTTCATGAAAGGCAGGCGCTCCGCCCTGTGCGAAGCCAAGTGCTGGGCCTTCTTTCTTAAAGTTCTTATTACTATGTATTGATGGTGCATAATAGTGTTTCATTGTGACTTTTTAAATATGTGTTCTGATCTCTTTGAGTGTCTAGTGAACACCATTCCTTGGGTCCTCTTTTCTCTACAGCAGCCTCATGCCGGTTGTGGTTGCGGAGCGCTCTGCGAAGCAGCTAGATGCCCTGTATCTGGGAGGGGTGTCCTGCCATCCTTGCTCTAGGAGACACTTCACTATATCCGTATCATGGCTGAGATTGAATACTTTGATGGGTGAAGCCATTCTTTTGTCACTCTGATGCTGCTCCTTTGGATTCTTACTATCCGATGGTGATTGCTGGTACGATCACATGATCGTTCTGTGTTGAAGTTTTTGAAGGACTAGCATATTTCTAAAATGGTTATAATCGTTTTACAAAACAAAAGAGCACCAGAGTTCCCTTTTTGCCAGGCCCTATCCTCTCTGACACTTGTAATCTGACATTGTCGTGACAGGCCAATCTCACAGTTTTGCTGAGACTGGAGGAGGTCTGCTGTTTACTGCATCCAATCCCTGGTGAAAATTTGTTGGAATCTCAGTTGTGAAATAGCCACAGGAAGAAGGTAGTAAATATTGAGCAGTAGACAGGGATCTGCTCTTATCCTCTACATTTCTGCTAGGTTTTAGCCCACAGGAGTGTCACATGCCCACTGGAAAGTTTCTCTCTCTCTCTCTCCTCTCTCTCTCTCTCTCTCTCTCTCTCTCTTTCTCTCGCTCGCTCACTCTCTCTGTCCTTTTCCCCAAGGAGATTTACATGTGCCAGATCTTTTTGTTCCAGAGTTTGGGAGTTTAGTGATTATTCCCACAAGTCGACTAAATTAAAGCTGAGGCACTTTATGAGTGGACAAAGCCCTTCCTGGAGGAAGTGGCCGACCTGGCGATGTCGGGTATGAACAGTGCAGTGGGCTCAGGAAGAGCTGAGCTCTCAGTCAGGCCACCAGAAGAAGCTGATGGTTGCTCTGTTACCCTTGAGGGAAAGTGAACTGAACTATCAGCAGTGATAGCAGTTGGCAAAGCTTGATGGACATTCTCTCTAGGGAATTAGTGCCTCCCTTGCATCTTTGGGGTCTACTCTGTAGCACAGTGTTAGGCCACAGCTGTAACATCTGCCTTTTCATTTTGTTACTCATGTGGCAGCAGCTTAATCTTGCCTTCATATGATGCATTTACAGATGCCCTCTTAATAAAGCAAACCTCACAAACACATTTAGTTATTATAAATTTTGTTTGTATTGTAATTCTTTGGAGATCACTTTACTCGAGTTTTCCTGCCTCCCAGCACTAACCAGAGAGAAGATGTTTGCACTGGTTTTTATTTGTCCCATGGTACAGAATACAAGCCAGGCTCCAGCTTCTCTATGACACTGCTAAGACACACACACTTAGAAAGGTGAACTTTCATTGTTCCAGATGCTGAGGCCTTGGGTTGATGAGAACTGTGCCATTACAGGGGCTGGTGTCATTTGAGGATGTAGCTGTGGACTTCACCTGGCAGGAGTGGCAGGAGCTGGATGCTGCTCAGAGGACCCTCTACAGGGATGTGATGCTGGAGAACTACAGCATCCTGGTGTTCTTGGGTGAGTCTGATGCCCTGTAACTCTCAGTAGCACTTACATCCTTCCTGGTTGATATCTCTAGAGATCAGTGCTAGCTTTTAATGCCCAAATGTTAAACATTTTAGTTGACACATACTAATGTCATATATGAATGGAGAGCAGTATGGCTGTGTGATATATTCAGATAATGTGCAGTCATCAGATGATGCCAGTTGACATGACTATCCCTTTGGTTTTGTTGGGAACATGAAAATTCTCTTTGATAGCTATTTTGAAGTATTTATTTAATTTTTGTCAACCATATTTTTACTGCTGCACTATAGAATGTAAGAAGCTCTGTGTCCCTTCCAATGTACTGAATAAATGCTAATCATCCCCTCTTCTTCCCTCCGTGCTCTGTACTTTTTCTCCACTTTGGTAACCACAGTTTTCTCTATGTCCCTGAGGTCACTTTGAATTTGAAAGTATAATGAAATTGTGAAAGATTTTGCTTTTTATACCTGACAGGTTTCATTTATCTTGTACCTTTTCTGGGAAGACATATAAGAAATCATCTTTTCACCATTATGGAGGAAGTCAAATTCCAAAAGAGTAACTCCGTGTTATGGAGCTTGGTGACTCAATGTGTACTTGGGGTATTTAGAGAGCACATGAGACTCTTAGACAGCTGGACCACTGAAAACCGAAACTCTAGTCATTTTTCGCCTCTGTGGCACAGACACCTGGGCAGAAGGGGCCTGCATTGGAATCTCTATTGAGTGGTTCATGACAGTCTTCTGAGGGAGTGTTAATGACTGGGTACCATTATCATAGACCTAAGAACTTGCTGTATCTGTTTATTTCACTGCCATGTTTATGTGCCATGTTTACCTTCATGTCACCACAATGGCTCTGTTTTAAAGTAGTGACAGTCATTTCTAACTCAGTGCAAATAGTTACATTCCAACCTCAAGAAAAGTTCTCTATTTCTGTCCTTTTGTGGTGGGAGACTTTTTTGTTTTATTTTTAATGGGTAAATTATATTCAGCCACATTTTTCAAATAATTTGGATTTTTGCTGATAGTTTCATACATCTTTATAATTCATTTTAGTCCTGTGCCCTTTTTTTTTGTCTTTTTGAGACAGAGTCTCCCTGTAGTCCCAGCTGACCTGGAACTCCCTATGTAGATCAGGCTGGCCTCAAACTCACAGAGATCCACCTGCCTCTGCCTCCCAAGTGCTGGGATTAAAGGCGTATGCTGCTGGGCAGTCCTGTGTTATTTATGTATTCCTCCATTGATGAACACGTACCTTGATCTGTGTCTTGGTTTTGTGTACACTGCTACAGTGACAGGACTGCAGATTTCTCTGGACATACTGGTTCTATTTATTTGGATATATTATTTGGATATATGTGGGCGGCAGTGTCATTCAGTCATTCTGTGTTTATATTTTATTAGCTTTTTGTTTGATACAGGGTCTGGCATTGCCTAGGCTGGCCTCAAACTTGCCAAATCTCAAGGCCTGCCTTGAACTGCCAATCCTCCTGCCTTCACCTGCTGAGTGTTGAATGTGCAGGTGTGTGCCCCACTCCTGGCTTAATATCTGGTTTTTGGAGAGAGTCTTGCACTCTATTTCACAGCAGCTGTGAGCATTTATGTTCCTATCACCAGCTTATGAGACTTTTCAATGTTTGTCATTTGGTGTCATGGGTCAGAACCATTCGGACCTCCATGCAGTGATCCATCCTTGTGATTTTGATTGACCATTCCCTGATGATGATGGTGGCAAGCAACCATTATTATATTTAAGAGCTGCTTGTGTGTCATATTTGGGAAATGGCTGTTGAGGCGGTGTAAGCAGATTCAATCACTTCATTTGCTTTTCTGTTATTTAACATTAATACTGAATGTGTTAGCTTTCCCCTGTTTAAGTACTTGAGGCTCTTAATATTCAGAAATTGGTCTCGGTGAATAAATATGACTTTTTTCATCATTCAGTTTAATTATTCTATTGATTGCATTTTTTTCTGTACAGATACTTATGAGTTTCTTGGACTCCTGACTACAGATTTTTGGTCTGTTTCTGTGTCTTTAGCGACATCCAAACTCTATCACCCTCATTTTCCACATGTGCTAACTCCACACCCCAGGAGGCCTCCTGCTTACAGGTCTTACCTTACCATATTTGGTCTATTTTTGTGTTTTTTCATCTTTATGCGGTTTTCCTTGAGATCTTTATGAATCTTTTAATGTTGTTTTACAAGCTGTCCTGAATTCTTCATGACTAAGAATGGTCCTGAACTACTGCTTCTCTTGGCTGTACATCCTGAGTGTTGGGATTCGAGGTGTATGCAGCACGCTCAGGTCTGCATCCATTTTAGTTGATTTCTTTATGAGTTTGGAGAGTGGGATCTTAAGACCTTTTGTCAGCCTCCATGTACCATGTTTCTCTGAATGATTTAAAGATGAGTACTTCCTCCAGGGTCTGGAGAGATAGCTCAGTGGTTAAGAGTGCTGGCTGTTATTGCAGAGGACCCAACTTTGATTCCCAGCACCCATAATACAGCTAACAACTGTCCATAACTCCAGGTTCATGGGATATGACACACTCTTCTGGCTTCTGTGGGCATTCCATGTGCACTTAGTACATGCAGGCAAACATTCATACACAGAATAAAAGTAAACTTTTTAAAAAATAAAAAAAGAAGTCCCCTGCAGAATGTAAAGTCTTGAATTGAAGACTGTGCTTAAAGTCAGATGACTGAGAGACACTTAAAAAGAGAAAATGTATGCTGGCTCATGTTCGGCCCATGGTTCCTTGGCCTCACTTTGGTCTGATAGTGAGGAAGGGCATCATGGCAGGGAGCACTGGCAGAGTGTGCTCCTCCCCTCACTGCTGGCAGAAAGCAAACAGAGGAGCTGACGTCCCAACATTCCGACTTGGGTAGTCGTCATGACGTCATTTCCTTCACTGAGTTCTACCTGCTAATAGTATCAGAGACTGATGACCAAGACTGAGCACCTGGTCTCTAGAGCATCTTAAATCCACAGTGTAACACCGAATGTGTGTGGATTCATTTTGGGTCTGTAAATCACTAAGAAGGATGGGTATTCAACACTACTGTTTCTTCTAACCTGTTAACAGTTTTCCTGCTTTAACAAATATTTTGATTAATTAATTTTTATTCTTTGACAGTTTTACACATGTATATAATGTGTTTTCTTCATTTTTATGCACCATCACCCTCTCATCTGCCTCCAAACCCCACTGAATACTTTCTTCTTCCCAGCAAGTCTCCTGCTTTCTTGCCTTTTTAGTGTGGCTTTGGACTTTTTTCCCCAAACACTGAGTTTCATTAGGGTTGATTGCATGAACATGCAATGCTGTTATGTAGTAGAGCAGAGGCAGCTTGGTTCTTGGATTTCTGAGACAGCGTTCACTGCAGTCCCGGGTTGTCTTGAGCTCTCTTTCATAGTTTGAGGCCTCAAAATCCTCACAGTTCTCCTCTCTTGGCATGTTAGAACCTGGAGTCTTTCTAGTTTTGGGGAAGCATATCTTCCTTAAGTTCTCAGTGTTTTGGAATATCCAAACTCCTTGGTTAATAAATTATAAAACAGGACTGAGGATTTGTCTCAGTTTCTAAGGTCCTGGCTAACGTGCAAATCTCTAAATTCAATTCCTGATACCATAAAATAAACTTAATGAAATTATGAAAAGCAAATAAGTAATAAAATTATTGAGCCTTTAAAAATTTTATAAATGCTTTTAGGAACTGTTTTGAATGGGAGTACATTCTGAATATCTCAACAAGTCTGTTCTTGATTTCCAATAAAGTGCATATTTTTGGTTTTTTTGACTTTGTATTCTGTAAGGAGTTATTTCATCCATTCTCCTTTTTGTGGAGACATATAAGATTTTCTGTGTTGCATCACTTGTCCTACAAATAAGGACGGTTTCACACTCCCCTTCCTGCTTTGGATGTCCTTTGTTTCCTTCCCTTAGCTCCTGTCTATGGAATGATACACAGACTTCCAATAGTGTCCTGAGAAAGAGTATGAACCAGTGCATCCTGCTCTTGTTTCCATCTTTGCTGAAGTAATTCTATGTTTTCCCCATTCACTAAGTGATAAACTGTGCGTTTATTGTATATAATTTGTATTGTGTGAAGGTACACTTTTGTGTCTACTTTGTTAAGCATTTTTGCTTTCTTTTTAAAAATGTTATCAGTATGTGTTATGTGGTGGTGGGGATGCTGTTGCATATATGTGGAACTCAGAGGACTGTTGTAAGACCTGGTCATTGCCTTCCACTTTATCCAGTAATTGGTTTATCTTGTTTTTTTGTGGCTGTGCAAATCTTCCCTTGTAATTGGCCTGATGTCTTCTGGTCTTTCTTGTTTCTGCCTCCTCTTTCTCTGTGGGAGTGTTGAGACTGAAGACATGTTCCTGCACTCTGGCTTTTTAGTAGATACTAGAGGTATGAACTCTGCTCTTTTTTCAATGTTTTAATGAGCCTGGGTATTTAAAAATAACCATCTCTTTGCTCAAAAAAAATTTTTCCTCTATCTCATCAGTTCAGCTGGTGGAATCTTTTCCTTTTTATACCCCCACCCCTTTCACTTTTTATTTAAGTAATTTCGAGCTTTGCAAAATTCCTTCCTCACTTTTTTTTTTTGTCTTTTTGTGACAGGGTCTCCCTGTAGTCCCAGCTGTCCTGGAACTCACTATGTAGACCAGGCTGGCCTTGAATTCACAGAGATGCTGCCTCTGTCTCCCGAGTGCTGGGATTAAAGGCGTGCGCCACCACGCCTGGCCGTTCCTCACCTTTTAAGCACTCTCTGGTTATTTGGTCCTGATAGCCCATGTGTCTTCCTCTTTTATTGTATTTTTCCCTCTCCTTGTCTTCTTTATTTCTTTAGTTCTCATAGCATCATTATCATAGATTATTCGTCATGGAGTTTATTGCCATTTGAGGGTCAATTCCAGTCAATGAAAGATGTGAGTGCAATGAGTCTGTAACAAAAGTTTCTATTTAGGGAGCCAGGATATGTTTCAGCAAGTCAAAGATTGGTGGCCTGGGTTCAGTCCGCAGATTCCAAATTAAGGGGGAAGAAGAGGACTGACTCTCTAAAATTGTTCTGTGACCTCTATGTACCTTGTGGTGGCACAAACATATTATGTGTGTGTGCACAGACTCACATACATAATAATAATGATAATAATTTTTTTCAAGTTTCTAGTTTACCCATCATAGCACAGCATTTCAAATCAGACTTACCACTTGGGCACAGTCTTACATCATTTTCTGTTTACAGGACACTGCATGACGAAACCTGAGTTGATCATCAGGCTGGAGCATGGATTTGAGCCATGGAGCATAGGCAAAGCCTCACTTTGGAGTGTGCCAGGTCAGTGAATGCATGCTGGGGAAGGGATGTCAGCAAGAGGCTTGCTCATAAGGTAATATTCATGCAGAGGTGTCTTCACCAAAATCAATCCAAACCTAGTCCCAGTGACAGGTGGCTTATTCTGTGAGGCATCTAATTTCTTGCAGTTTCTGAGTGGAGTTCTCTGTGTCAACTAGTGCCCAAACTGCTGTGGAGCCCAGAAGAGTGTTTTGGATTTCCTGTGGTTAGAGTTACAGGTAATTGTGAGCTGCCTGACGTGAGTGCTAGGAATTTAACTCAGGTCCTTTGGAAGTGCAACAAGTGCTCCTAAGCACAGAGCCATCTCTCCAGTCCCTTGTTGATTAGGTATTTTACCTAAATTCTTAATTGTCCTTTGCCCTTGTTTTATACATAGTTTTTGTTTTATGTTTTAAATTAGCCTTTGTTGAAATGTTCTTCCATCACCTTTGCAGATGAGGTGGCTAATGCCTAAATGAGCTCCCAACCTGGCAGAGAAGCAGGGCAGGGTTTATAAAGTTTAAAACCACAATTACATCATGCCAAGGGCAAAGCCAATAACCATAGTTACATCAGATCACCATAGTTACACCAGACCAGGGAAGGTCAGTTAACAAAGAGGTTTTTAGTTAATGAAATTTTCAGTAGGAAAAAACAAGTTTCTCAGAACTGCAGAAAACAATGGAGTCCATGGAGATGCAAGTATAGCTGTGTGGGAGGTATTACCTGGATGTGCTACCTGGCTACTTGTAAATTCCCCAGTGCTGTAAAAACACTGTACTCTCTGAAACTGCATGTGCTGGATAGCTTTATTTGTCAACTTAACACACCTGGTTTGAGGGAACCTCAGTTGGGGGATTTTCTCCTTTGGACTGGCCTTTGGCCATATCTGTGAGGCATTTTCTTGACTGTCAAGTGATGGAGGAGGGCCCAACTGATTGTGGGTGGTGCCACCCTTAGGCAGGTGGTCCTGTATTGTATAAGAAAGCAGGTTGAGCATAGGCCAAGGAACCAAGCCTGTAAGCAGCATTCTTCCTTGGCCTATCCTTCACCTCCTGCCTCCAATTTCCTGCCCCAAGTTCTGACCTTGGGCTCCCTCAATGATAAACTGTGACCTGGGAGATGTGAACCAAATAAATCTTTCATCCCCAAGTTGGTATTGGTCATAGTGCTTTGTCACAGCAATTAAAAACAAACTAGACCCAGGTGTGGTGGCTCACGCCTTTAATCCCAGCACCCGGGAGGCAGAGGCAGGCAGATCTCTGTGAGTTTGAGGCCAGCCTGGTCTCCATAGTGAATCCAGGGCAGCTGGGGCTACAGGGAGACCCTGACTCAAAAAGACAAAAAAAAAAAAAAAAAAAAAAAAAAAGCAAACTAGAATAGAAATTGTTATCAGGAGTGGTGTTTGTGAAGAACCTGATGATGTGGGGTTTTGGAGGAATTGGAAGACTTTGAAAGTTTGGGCTAGAAAAGCAGTTATTGCTGTAAGCAGTACTTAACAGATCATTCTAGTAAGCTCCTGGAAGTAAGTAGTGCTGAGAACAGTGTAGTTCCAGAGAGACTAAGGACTTAAGCAGCAATTGGGATATTTGGCAAAGAGTCTGGCTGGAGTCTCCTCACAGCCAAAAAACTTTCCTGAGGCAATGAACTAATTTCTTTGGCTGAGGCTATTTCAAGGCAGCCTAACAATGAAATGGTAGTGTGGCTATTAATGGTGAATATTATGCAGATCTACAGTGAAAAAGAGCAAATGGGGCAGAAAGAAATGCAGAATATACAGTTTAGATTGAAAAAGAACACTAGGAAGATTAATGTTGGAGCCAAGGCAAGTGCTGAAGGGGATCCCTTTGATAAAGACATTAAATTAATTAAGGAGAAGCCTAGAGATTTGCACTTTAACAATGGAGAGAGCACCTGCAGGGCAAGACCACACTCAGCTAAGCCTTGTGAAAGGAAAATTCTGGGGTTTTCTATTCCTAGAAAACCACAGCCGAGAAAAGCTCAGAAGTAGATGAAACAGGGCAGGGTCTACCCCAAACTTGCAGCCATACTTTGCAGAGTCATTCACCTGGTGCTGGCTTTAGAGACATGAAAGATGCAAGAGTCAAGGGGTCACTGGGCATGGTGGTGCACACCTTTAATCTCAGCACTCAGGAGGCAAAGGAAGGTGGATCTCTTTGAGTTCAAGGCCAGCCTCGTCTACATAGTGAGTTCCAGGCCAGCTGAGAGTACAGGGAGACCTTGCCTCAAAAAGACCAAAGGAAGAAAAAAAGAATAAAGGGGTCATTGGTTCTTCCTCTGGGGTTTCAGAGAGCTGCCAAGGCCAGGCAACATGTAGCAGGGGTGTCCCTGCATAAGGAAGGCCTTGATGGGCCATTGTGTGAAACTGTGAAGGGGAAGCCTGGTTGGCAGTGGAGACCCTAAGAAGACATTTGTGATGCCAGAACTGTGAGACATCTGCCATGGAGAGCTGCATACAGGGAATGGTACCAGCCCAAGAGAGATGTATGTTTCACACAGCAAAGGTGGAGAGGCTGAGCCATCTAAGCCCTTTGGAAGTAAAGTCTCAGAATTCAAACCTGGTGGTATTAGATTTGGTGTTTGCCTTGCTGGTTTTGGGGCTTGTTTTGGTCTGGTATTTCCTCATTATGCCTCTAGTCTTCCCTTTTGGAATGGGGATGTGTATTCAGTTCCACTGTATGTTGGGAGTATGTAATTTGTCTTTTGATTTTGCAGGGGCTTGCAGTTAAGATATTGTCCTGAGTCTCAGAAGAGACTTTGGACTGTGGACTTTTGAAGAGTATTGAGACTGGTAAAGATGATGGGGACTTTTAAGCTTGGACCAAGTGCATTTTTAATTTATGTGGTCATGAACTTGTGGGGTCCAGGGAGTGGAATATGGTGGTTTGAAGGAGAATGTCCCCCATAGGCTCCAAGTATTTGAGCATTTTGTCCCCATTTAGTGCTGCTGTTTTGGGAGGTCTTAGAAAGCATGTCACCAGGGGCAGACTTACAGGGTTCTTAATCTTAAGCCTTGCCAGATCTCCATTGCTCTCTGCTTCCTTTGCCTGCTTGAAGATGTGAGAACTTAGCTTCTGCTCCTACTCCAGCCACCTCTGCTACCATGCCTCTCCACCATGATGAATTCTTGCCCCTTTGGAACAATAAGCTAAATAAACTCTTCCTTTTATAAGTTCCCTTAGTCATGGTGTTTCCATCACTGCAACAGAAAAGTAACTAATACTCTACAGGTGTAGCCTTCATGGCTAGCTGGTTCTGCCTGGCTGACTACAGTGGGAATGGCTGGGCAAAAACACAAGCTAAAGCAAGTCAGCTGGGACAAAATGGAGTGTGTTTTGCCATTTCAATAGCAACAATTAACACTCAAATGCTGATCCTCTTAAAGAGCTCACATTCAGAGAGAACACAGTGAAGTAAATGTGTAATGTACTAGAGTGAGATGAGAGACGCCAACAATATTTACCCCAAGGACAGAAAATAAGTCATAACATGAATGCCATATAGAGGAATTTTTAATTTATTTTGGTTTAACTTTGATATTGTGGTTTTCAAAATTTGGAACAAATACATAGTTAGATGCAAGTTCAAGACTGGACAGGGTTTGTCATTAGAACTGAGAAAGAAATTTGGCAATCAGTACCCTAAAAAGAATCATCCACAGAGTTTTAAGATGATGAGAAAAGCAGCTGGGCATGGTGGTGCACACCTCTAGTCCCTGCACTGGAGATGCAGAGGCAGGCAGATCTCTGTGAGATTGAGGCCAGCCTCATTTCCATAGTGAGTTGCAGGTCACCTGGGGCTACAGGGAGACCCTGTCTCAAAAAAGACACCCCTAAAAAGCAGACAAACGAAGAAAAAAATCTCCCCAAACAAAAACAAATGAAATAAATAAAATTTAATGAGAAAAGTAAGGTTCGGAAGTTCCAGGAGGGATGGCAGGTTATAGGTTTTTCCCATACTGATACTTGAATGCAAAGTGCCAGAGAAACACAGGAGAGAATGTATTACCAGTAGAGAAGGAGAAGAAGAATATTTGGAATGTAGACCAGAGGTGTCAGGACAGGGATGCAGTAGAATAACAGCAAAGGAATGCAGAGAAATGTAGAGACAGTCAACACCTGAAATCCCAGGTGGTAATGGAATCAAATACTACAGGTAGTTTAGACCCTTGTTCATCAGTGTCCTGCAGCCAGAAGACTGGCATTCTCTGCAGGAGAAGCCTGGGACTGGCACGTGTTCACCCAGTACAGTGGTTTTCTCAGATACTGTCTTGTCCAAATGGCAAACTAAATTGAGAACAAATTGATTGTGTTAATCCACATAGTGTGGAGTACTATAAACTGGTTCCATCTACTCTTGGAACATGACAACAAAGATTTCTCAAAACTCAGGAGACTAGGGAAACACAGCTTCTGTGTTGCAGGTGGGTATAAGTGGTAGCCATGGAAACTGACATAGTCAGATACAGATTCTCTGAGAAAGTTAAGAAGCTTTATGAATAGAGTCTTGGACTCAGGTGAAAAGTGAGCCCCGTTCTTCATAGACATTGGCAGAGAATCAGAATATCAGGTCTGGAGTCAGCCAGTTGCTTGGCCTCTAGACCATTCTTCCATCTCTGTGATTTGCTACATCTTAGAACCTAGAGATTTGAGCCCAGAGAACACAGTTCTCTAGGTTTTCACAGCTTTCTTCTTGTGAAAATGTGTTTATTGTTTATTGAGTCCTGAAAGATCCAGGCTGACTCTCTTTCCTCTGCTCTTTACAGTCTTTCTAGAGACCCCCTTTTTTTTTTTTTAATTTTGTCTTCTCTCAGGGCAAAAAATAATTGATGTTTCTGTAGCAGGTAGTATGGTGTCTGACTACATACTCAAAAGCTTATTGAACACAATGACTATTTTATGCCAATAAATGGGTTATTCAGTCAGTGGAACCCTGCAATGGACCAGGTAATCTTGTTGGATCTGGCTGTTACCTCAATTAAT